AAGAAAAAAAAGTAATTATATGAAAATGGTTGTCTACTACACTTTATAGATGTGTACAGGAACCAAAAGCAAACTGGCAAAGCTTCAAGTTTCACATTTAATTTCTATTTTAAATGAATGCACGTAGGGCAGCTGAGGATATGAATGCTCGCGACAAGCTGAGACACACCAGCCATTTATTCAGTCGACATGTATAGTCTGACTGAGACAATCGGCTGAAGGAGACCACGATGAGGTGATGGGTGATGGTGGTGGACAGTCCTGTACACGATTCATCATCCACAACCCGCTATTCCCCACTCCTATCTCCAGATAGTCCAGTTACACGTACATATATATGCTTGCTTTTTTAATGAAGACGTGTTTTATTATGTGTTTTTATCATACACTAGCAAACCACTAGTGGATGGATGATCACGTTCTTTGGATGTGACCATCCACCCATCCCTCCCAGCCAGTTAGCCAGCCAAACTTGTACTCGTATATAGCCCTGGCTCTCTTCGCCTTTATGTTGCCTGCTCTGTGCAGTATATCCCACTCAATATCGATGTGTCGCTTTGTCTCTGGGTCTCTATTCAACGTCCCCCCCCACTCCATCTGTATTCCCCTCCTCCCTCCACTGTATATCACCCAATCCCCTCTCACCCTCGCTCTCCTTATTCCCACCTCTCCCGTCTCGATATCTCTCGCCTCTCCCGAATCCTCCCTCCCACCGCGTGTCCCTTTCCCCCGCTCTCCTCTTTCCGTTTTGCTCCGTTTACTCCCAGTCTGACGCCCTTTCACGCTCTCCCCGGCCCTTCACTCTCCGTCCCTCTCCGACTCTTCTCCCCCTCCTCCATCTCGCTCCATCTACCTCCCTCCCTCCATCACCTTCATCCCTTATCTCCCTCCATCTCTCATCGATCGCATTTGCGTGGGATATATATGGCCAGGGGTGGAAAGGTGGGGTGGGGGATGGTCGTGACATCATAACACATGGGAAGTGGCTTGACGTTGTGGGATGTGGGTGACGTCATCACGCACATGTGCGCGGTGACATCACCACTACGTACGGCCACTTGGCCGCGCGCCAGCCATGAATCCAGCCAGCAAAACTTTTTTAGTTGTTCCCAAAATCGTAGGAAAGTGAAATCATTTGGAAGGGAGGGGCGTGGTTGCTGATCGGAGGGGTTGGTTTGACTATCCCTTGATGGAGTGTCACCTCAGAAAATAATTCACATTCCTCTCCTTCCCACCACCTTAAGTGTGTGTTCAAACACGCCGATTCACTTGGCTACCTTACACAGGTGTAAAGATGACTACCCAGTCGAACAGAGAATATCCTGGCCCCCGAACATTGGGAAGTTCACCACCATTACTTCAAGCGAGCCTGATCGCAAAATAAGACATTGAATGTCAAAACGGTCTCGACAAAACATTTCTTTCTTTTTTACAGCAATGCTGCTAAATATACGCACTCACAGAATGCTATGGCTGATGGGATGTGTAAAAAAAGGAGTTATACATTTATTTCTGTGAAGGGCCTGGTATGGGAAGGAGGCATGTTGTCCACGTGTTTACTTTGCACTCGTCACTGTCTAGCCCATCTCCCCCCCCCCCAACCTCTCACCTCTGAGCTGTCCACATGAGTGGACGACGATTGCGTGAACATTTCAGGCTGACGACCATTACGATCATTCATAGCGGATTTTTGGGTTTGTCCACTTAATAATCTGACCAAATTTGTGTCATGAAGACCCTTCACCACCCAACACTTGACTTCTGTGAAACTATTGGACATCTGTGATATTACTGGGCATCTGTGAAACAGAGCTTTATAGCTCATCAGATTCCTCCACTATAAATACATGTATTCTGATTCTGAACAAATGATTTGTCATGTGCAGAAGCGCTTAAAATACCAATAATTTTTTGTTTCAGATCAACGGCAAATTGAAGAACAATTATCAACCAATTTGACCAATTAGTATCTAATTGTAAAGTGTAGTCGTGAGAAGTGTCCACGTGACAGTTCATATTATTGGGTGTGTCAGGTGATGGAGATTGTTTATCGACACAAATTTGGTCAGATCACTGCATGGCCTAACCCAATAATAAATTATGAATCACGATGTTGCCTGTGAAAACCTTGCACGTGTTATGATTACGGCATCCTTGCTGTAGATAAAATGTTTCGCGTGTTAAATTAAAAATGCTCTTGTTCTCGGGGTAATTTTAAAGTATAATAGTACCATCGTTATTTTTCAGGGCATGGTCACACGCAATGTTATAAAATGTTAAATACTAAATTCAAGTTTGAACATTGTAATCGGCAGTATCTTGAAAAAAGAAAATCAACACCCAGATAAAAATAGCGACATGTGGCAACAATCTAACTCAGTATGCTGAGTGTGGGCTCTGAATGTGTAACATATTCATGAAATTCTAACCACGCATTACCCCTTGACAAAGGTAAGTGGGTAAGGGTGCAGATTCTGCGCGTCGATCACCGGACTCGGGAGGCAATAGCAGGAAGGCAGATTCAGACGCATCTCGATTGAATGTCAACTTTTAATCTAAACACGAGCAGAAAGTATATAAAACACATTTATAGTACACCTTGTTGCAGTAAATCAGCTTCGCAAACAATCCAATGGAAAATATCTGCACTCCACAAAACAACTGAAAACAACGCTAGCGCTTGTTTTTTTTTCTTCATAAAGATGTACACAACTGTGCATGATGTACAAATGCATATCGAATTCACTTAACCATTTACCCCGAGGTGGAGCAGCATGATGGATTATTGGCAAGAGAATGGACGACTATAGATACGTTTTGGCACGAAAATTGCATTAGTTTACAAGAGAAGCACACAACAATAGGAATCACACAACACATTGAAACTTGGTGGAATCACTGAACGATCCACTTTGTGGGAACTCGATTATGGTCATTATATCACCCCATGGGAATACAGAATTTCTATCACTGCACCACCAATGATTATAAGGACCTTTAATGTTCTATTAAAACAGGATTAATGATGCGTTAATGTTGTGAACTCTTAATTTATGCCGGAATTACTGTATATTCTGTGATAAGTGTGCATTACGGTTCATTTAAGTCTCCTATTCCTCGTGTGAGAGAGAGTGCTTAAACTATGGCTGTATTGACCAGTACGTAAATAAGTAAGAAGAGACAGATCCATGCCGGCCACCCAGCAGGTGATTGCTCTGAGCACATGGACAGTGCAATCTGGTGGATTTGACCTGGCCTTAGAACATCTGAGTTTGACAGTGTTCAACGTGTATTGTATATTAAATACAACAAACTACACACTACCCCCCCCCCCCCCCCCGTTATATGCACAGTGCTCGGGAAATGTTTTGCCACGCAAAATAATATAAAAAGGCAATTCTGAAAACGATGCAAAAATGTTGTCATTCTTTGGTCGTTTGTCCAAATTGTGCTCCACGGGAGCAATCAGGGCTGGGGGGGGGAGGCGTCTCGACCATCCGCCGCGTGTGTGTGTGCGGTCACGAGACGTGTGTGTGTGCGGTCACGAGACGTGTGTGTGTGTGCGGTCACGAGACGTGTGTGTGTGTGCGGTCACGAGACGTGTGTGTGTGCGGTCACGAGACGTGTGTGTGTGTGCGGTCACGAGACGTGTGTGCGTGCGGTCACGAGACGTGTGTGCGTGCGGTCACGAGACGTGTGTGTGTGTGCGGTCACGAGACGTGTGTGTGTGCGGTCACGAGACGTGCGTGTGTGCGGTCACGAGACGTGTGTGCGTGCGGTCACGAGACGTGTGTGCGTGCGGTCACGAGACGTGTGTGTGTGCGGTCATGAGACGTGCGTGTGTGCGGTCACGAGATGTGCGTGTGTGCGGTCACTAGACGTGTGTGTGTGCGGTCACGAGACGTGTGTGTGTGCGGTCACGAGACGTGTGTGTGTGCGGTCACGAGACGTGTGTGTGTGCGGTCACGAGACGTGTGTGTGTGCGGTCACGAGACGTGTGTGAGTGCGGTCACGAGACGTGTGTGTGTGCGGTCACGAGACGTGTGTGTGTGTGCGGTCACGAGACGTGTGTGTGTGCGGTCACGAGACGTGTGTGTGTGCGGTCACGAGACGTGTGTGCGTGCGGTCACGAGACGTGTGTGCGTGCGGTCACGAGACGTGTGTGTGTGCGGTCACGAGACGTGTGTGTGTGCGGTCACGAGACGTGTGTGTGTGCGGTCACGAGACGTATGTGCGTGCGGTCACGAGACGTGTGTGTGTGCGGTCACGAGACGCTCTGGGACGTAAGATGCACTCAAAACGTGTGTCCGGAGTCAATAGAGTTGCACAGATCTCATGGCACACAAACGAATCGTAATGTGCACAACCTTGGCTTTCAAATGCAGGGTAACAAAAAAAAGTGGGTCTTGTCTGGAGAATACGAGTGATGTTGTCAATCGTTCTTGGGCACATCTCCACACCCCTTTGTTAATATGCACTGACCAGTGAGGTGAAGTATGGTCAAACAACACCCCCACCACCATAACTTTGTGGGGAGGCCTTCATCTATTCAAAAGACAATACATCGTCGTTTCCGTTTGTATTACTAAAAAGGGCAAGCAGCCTTTGGCTGTCAGTGATTTGATCAGTGACCTAGGATTGCTGTTATCCAGGCAGGCTGTTTTTTTATTTTAAACACAGCCTTTATCGTTGCGTCTTATTCTGTTTTCTTTGATTTTGAATAATAAAATATTTAATTTACAACCCTTGCAACGGAGCGCTACTTCATTCCACATTGGGCAGAAAATTGGGCCAAAAAATGTATTTGGCAGATTTGCGAAACTTTTGGTTAACCGTTATTCCACAAAATTGTATAAAAATAAACTTGAATTGGACCCACTGGCCTACAACCAAAATATATGTTACCTTTAATGCGACTGCCTGCTAAGTCGTTTTCTTTATTAATTCCAGATAGAGATGATGACTAGATGTGTGATTTAAAATAATGATTAAACAGCACGTTTGGTTTGAGAAAATTCCTTTAATTGAGATGAACACGTCACTGTCAGTGATGCATGCCGCAGTGGAGGACGTTCAGGATTCCACGATGCTCGAAAAAGAGTGGGACCCCGCGTCATGGTCCAAATTTGCCCCCCCAAAAAAATTGCCTAAAGCCACGTGCCAACCATTGCTCCTTCCTGTGAAGCTACGGCAGAATGTGGTTTGTGTGAGGGCCTTGCGCGACAACAATGGTGCAAACACCACATGTACTCATAATTTGACATGCCAGTAGACCTGTAAAATACTGTTCAACAGGAAATATAAAATACTAGCACTTTCACGTCTCACCTAACTTCAAATGTAAATTTGCGAAATGTGCATTAGGAAGGTTTGTGTGTAACAAATGCAGTTATATCGGACAAACACCAGCAATGGTGCGGCACACATCCACCACATGTTGAGCGTGTTTAATTATTAACTACAACTGTTTGGAAAATATGAAAAGCCAAGAGGGCGTGAATATTCCTCAAAGATGGAACACGGCTTGGTGTACTAAATTTAAATTAGCCATCTGAGTTTATGGTGTATGGCAGGTTAGTTTGCTACGTTACGCATTCTGCACAGTTATGGGGCTTCATGTACACGCAATCACATTCAATCCTTTAGAAATCATGAGCACACATGGGCACGTGCAGTGTCTGAGTTTGGTCTTCTATGGTGTGGATCGATGGTACGTTATGTTCCGTGTGAGTGTAAATCCACCGATGTAATTCCAAATATGCCGTATCATCATGCAGGGCATTTGTGTTGTTAAAGTATCACAATAAACACGTGTTCCATCGCGGCATCGCGGTATTTCCAACCCCACAAATCCATAAAACAAGGCTCAGAAAACGCTGACACTGAACGCATAAAATCAATTCAATTTGCTGTGATAACGAGGAATATCAGCACAAAAGGGAAATAAAAATCAATGAATCTTTGTTTTACACAAAGGCCCCATTTTAAATCACATTTTAAGCGCAGTAATAGAGTACAGCTGATTTGTACATGCCTCACGTTATGTCATGAAAGACAAAGTCTACTCCTGACCTTCGCTGTTGGCAGGCTCGGCATGAGCAAGCCGCTGAGTGCTGTGCCCCATCAGCACACACCACGTGACATCTGGGACAAATGCTTCTCTTCCGTCGTTCCACAGTCGTGAAACATTCTCCTTTTGGAGCCATGAAATTCCAATTCCTCTTTTGCCTTCATATAAAGTTAAAAACAGATGCATTTATGCAACCTCATGGCCGATATTTTAGTCAGTAACAAGATTTTGTTTTGAAATTAAAACACGTTTGATTGCTGTTTTGAAGGTCTCAATTTGTTCTTTAAAATAGAATATTATTTTGCAGTTTGTCTTTCCTTTAATACCTTTTCCATAATTGTTTTGGCACCGTAAATGATTTACTTAGAGGGTTTGAACTAACTGCATGTTATCTTTAAAATGCATTACTGCTTAAGAGCACACATACATCTTATACGACAGGGTGATCGGTTCAAGAAGAAAGTTAGGAACAAAAACATTGAAATTCAAATCCTCTCCACGTCTCCCACCAATCTCCATACAAGTATTACAATACTCGCCTCTCTAAGATATGGAGACGCTGTTGTCACAACATCCAGTTCCTTGTTGAAACTAGTGTCATTACAAATCCATTGGGTATCTATCTCTGGATCATCATGTGGGTCTTGGAGGTTGCATATCGAGACCTGTGCTGTGAATTACAGTCCTAGGGCTCATTCTCTTCACCTACCTGCAGTGACTGCCATGGTGAAGTATGGTGGTCAAACAGTCCCAATGGATGACACGGAGTAAGGAGGCCTCCATCCAGCAGTGGATTGACAAATGGATTTAAGTTGAAATTTTATATATTCAGTATTATCATTATTTCATAATTTTAGCTAAGAATAGGGGTTTTCCCCTTTTTTCTGGCAACAAAACTGAAACCTTTTTACAAGGAATCATGTCTGCATTAACGACAATACTTGTGGTCAAAATGCAAACAGAAAACAAACTGATAATATATGCATTGTCCTTGAAACTGATTGGTCCACACCAGAGACAGCTTTTTTTTTAGCCTCGTCTCAAATGGTGCTAGCTTGCCAGACTTTCAATTATTTTAATTGGGTACTTAAACTAGTTTTTAATGGGTAAAACATTGCAGAACTTAAAAACAATTGAATTAAAGCGGTAAATGCCTTCATTTAAATTGTATGTTTATCTGAAAAGCCGAACTGAATCTTGGAGGCAATTTCGCAAGAATTGAAAATGATATTCTGCCAATTCCCGTGGTCAGCATTTTAGCACTTGGAAGGAAATTAGTCCTGCAGGGAAAAGTATAAACGTACAAGGTGAACACTCAAAATCCACATATGCTCGATAGACCTGAAACAGATATTAAACTTGTCAATACCACCTGAGGTGACAAGATCTCGTTGTGTTTTCGAGAAGTGTATATTTTGGGATGTTATAATCATGAAAACATCCAAAATTATTCCACTTTTATTGGCGATGGAGAGAAATCGCTCCCATTAAAGTTTTGCCGCTTAAAATGCACCTCATTAGTATCCCTAAAGTATTGGCCCCTGGAGGCCACTGAATTGCACACAAATCACCCCCCACCCACCGAAACAGAAATATTCCATTAAATTTCAATGCAAATGCAAAGCATGGGGGATGTTATTCTTTGCAGCATCTACTGTTGGCAACGGGCAGCCAGCCAGGGCTAGCTGCGTTGACACTCGCGCTTGACACACGTGGCTTGGCGGTCCGAGTGGCCCCCTCCGCCAGGACTCGGACATATGCACACGGTGCACGAGTCGACCTTCACCTCGCGGCCGGCTGGGATGATGCGCGTGCCGGCGTAGCAGTTCCCACCTTCACAACGCGCAGACGAAGCAGCGGGTCGGGAAACATGGAGAACACACAAAAACAGCACAATGCCTTTCATGACGCAATACTGTGCACGGTAAGTGACTCTCTTGGCTGAAAGAAGTCGTGTGAACGTTGGTACAACGTTCTTTGTAAGGAATGTGGTGTTATCCCATCTCAACAAGTCTGCAAGTCGGTTTATAAATAAAAATTTAATTTATATATTGGAACAAAATGTATTTCACAAGTGATATGAACATGGAAACAATTTTCTTTTGAGCATGATTTCAAATACTGTCTCAAAAATAGATAATTTTTTTACTAAATAGATACATTATATTCTGAATTTATTAGGGCTTAACTGTGAAAGGTGAGCAATATGTGTATATGATTTTTGGTTCATCTCATCATAACATGTATGTCCCATCTAGTTATGTTGCCTTTCCTGCTGCACGTTCTAAAAGAGACACACTGTGGAGGTGTGCGGTTAACTGAAAGGTGAAGCTGCTCTCGGCTGCAATGTTGGGAAAATCGAAACTTATACCAAGCTCGCAAGAAAGCGGAAGATATCCATTGGTGGTACACAACTAGAGAGCACATCAGCATGTTTATGCCTCGGGAAATTTTTGAAAGCACACCAGGATGATAAGAAAACAGAATGATTTATAGGATTTGATATCCAAATATCTATTGGTACTGTATATCATAGGAATGTACTCGCAACTCTGTTCACTTTGTTAAAAAGTTTCAATATAAATTCTGAAAAAATGTACAGGTAAAAAACAACCTAAAATACAGCAACATAATAGTATAGAGTATAAATGCACGAAAAAAATAACTACACTATAAAGATAAATTTTACACTTGAAAGCACATACTATATACACATTTAAGAATCAATATATTGGCTGTCTTGTCACCAACTTCCACTTCTAGGTTATTATTTAATTCAATTCTGACTTCATGCATTGATCATATCTGGTCCGGTGCTTCAAGGTGTATGGTTAATAGGTCAAAAGATCCACTGCTGTGTATCAAGTGTATTTTGTGAACGCATACACCTGACTCCACGAGGATGGTTATACGTAGAAAATTGCATCATGTAAACGGCATATTTTTCGCGTGTGCCTGGCAAATGTGTCTGTACCACGTGTCAGGTCTGTCCGGTTCGCGTACAGCATTTGGCGACGAAAACATTAAACGAAACCTCCTGTTTTCAGCAGCGTTGCTCCGGACTGCCAAGCCACGTTCTCCCTCCATTTGCTGATTCTCGTGCCTCGCCTGCTTAACGGCGAGCAATGGGCCAGTTCCTGCCTTCCTGTGTTGTTGTTGTGCAGCGGTGTTCAGCGATGTTAGGTTGAATTGCCCGATGATGCTGGATGTAATTAGCAGCGAAACGTCGTACTAAAAAATTGTAAATGTTGTGTATTCACTCTTCAACACACCGGTGGGCTAAAGTAGTGTGAACTATTTGTCTTTTGTCAACGTGACACTTTTTTGCTGATTGGCCGTGTCGGGTGGTGGAGGGTTACAACACATTTATAAATAACGCGATCTAACCCAAAAACGTTTATTATGAATAATATTGGTCGCGAAAGCCTACGTGTTAATCTGCATTAGCTTTGTCTATCTGTACGTCTGTGTCTATAAATATGGCAGGGTCATGATAACTTGACCCAGTATGAGTGAAACTCGAGTATGAAGTTGTGTTTTTGTTATGGACTTTCCCAGTAGAAAATTGGGCACATTGAAAAAAGTGATGTTCAAAATCTGGTGATTAAAAAAAACCTGCGCTAAACGTGTTGCGTTTACAGCCAATCGGATGATGTCATTAAGTGTGACATCATGCAATGGTGTCATCATGTGTGATGTGATCCCGCTTGGAACGTAATCTTATTGTTAGTTAATACTTCTGAGTAAGTATTGGAAAACATTACAGAATGTATGCATGCGTGATTGTTCTTCTTTTCTTTAAAACATTATGTATCTCGGTAGACTCTATTGGTGATGGAAATTAGCATGGAAGCAGATGTACACTTCTGCATGTCAGAAGGCTGGCTTCGAATGGTGTTGGTGGCATGCAACCAAGCAATTAAACTGCAGTAATTTAGTACCAACTGTCTCTCTGCATGTCTCTTGGCATTGCACGAGCGGCAGTTTGCTGAAGGGCCTCCGTAATGCGTGTGCCACCTGCACCGTGGGGACTTCAAGCATTGGAATTTAGCACACTATTAAACTGGGAGTGGGAACATGAGAAGCATTTGTGCAGTGGGCAGTTGAGTACACATAATTGTCCCATTTACATTGTTAATTAAGGCAACTTAGTGAAAGTAATTACCAGTAAAGACTCTGTAAAAATTTATTAAAATAATGGTTTGAAAAAATTGAGTAGTGTGTAAAGCGTGTGGATGCATTGCATCCATTACACCACCAAACAAAACCACTCGACGATCCACGGAGGTGGAACTCAATCGCCACCACTCACGAGGGGTCGGTGGAAATTTGGCTTTTATAGAAGACCACCTGTTCATTGTGCTGTATTCGAGGTAAGCATTTCTGTTGAACTTCCTCCGCACCGTACATACCTAACCGTGCTAATCGGAGGTGCAGGGGAAAGCACAAGAAACTAAACACAGGTACAGTAATCCTTTGTAAAGTTCGTGATTTCGATACGAATCAGACATTTGCCCAACCCTCTTGCTGCCTTAAATCATAAAGGAATAGTGAGAAGACGACATAGTTGAGATGTGGTTCAGCTATTGGTGCACTGTTCATCGATTATATGCACTTTTATTATAGAAAGCAAACTGTTAAACCTCAACGTACTTCAACAGATTAAACATCTGTAGAACATTTGCGTGTAACGTTACAGGGAGTGAATCTCGGTAGCCCACGCTCTTAGTGTAAACATGGCCAGTATAGAGTGAGAAACGGTTATAATGTTACTGGCAACATCTTACTTCCCCGTGCCTCTATCACACGTAGTGGGGTAAAGTGTGGTTACTCCGACTCGTGAATTAGAGTCTCACAGCATTTCGGGCTCTTCCTGCTGAAATAGAAAATGTGTGTTCCAAGTTGTCAGGCCGCTGTGGAAGAATCGGCCCAAGACGCCTCTGGAAGAGTTCTGGAGAAATCCCTCAAAGTGAGGCTCTTCCATCAGCAGCGGCATGAGCGCCGCGGTGGTGAGATGTTAATTCACTCGCCTGCCATGCAGGAGGGCATGGGTTCGATTCCAACCGTGTACACCTGCTGTATATTTGGAGTTTGCATGTTCTCCCCGTGGTCGTGTGGAATTTTTTCTGGGTCCTCGGATTTTCCCCTCCAAATGTAGTATTTGCCTGCTACGCATTTGCACGTGGTAAGCCACTTCGTTGGGCTATCATTTGTGATAGCCAAGTTGCTTCTGAAATAGAGCTATATAGCTCAGTGGGCCTTACATGGTAAAATAAAAATGGTTTAAGAGTTTCTTTTTTTCACGAGAAAGCAATTGCAGGCCTGCACTCTTCAACCTCCTTACCATTTTTGCAGATGGGGCAGCACTGCTCGGGCTCGTACAGGGGGTTCACGCACTCCGGGTCGGAGCACTCGGCCACCACGCACGCCACTTCCCCGTTGGACTCGCAGCGGCAACGCTCGCACGGGGACGGCTGGCACGAGGACAAGAGGCAGGAGCATCGTTACATCGTTGGGTGTTACAACGTTGGGTGTTACATCGGCAGCTTTCCAATGTTCACGGTCCTAGTGGATTTTTTGCCAGTAGTCGCACGCTTTCAGATGCGCTCCTGCGGTACCTCCAATTCGCACCGTTGGGTGTGTACGGTGTGAAAGAAGTTCAACATACGTGCATAACATACTGTATTACTGCTTTGCAGCTGTGCTGCCAGACCAGGCCAACAGCTATTTGCTTGTCTGTGTTAGTGTTTGATTATTGTAGATATAATCATCCATCGCAAGCCAACGTCACAGTTGATGTGGCATGGAAATTGCGTGCAATGTCCAGGACTTGCTGCCATCGCGTGTTTGAGGCAGTGGTGGGGGCTGGCGGTGGCGGTAAGCGTGTGTGTGAATGCTACACTTTTTTCACACCGTACATATCCAACCATGGTAATCGGAGGTGGGGGGGGGGGACAACAAACTAAATACAAAAAGCAGTTCTAAATAAATTGTTTTTAAATGTAGATCATATAAAAGCGCATAGCTCCAGTGGCTTCCGACTATCGGAGGGAAGAGCGTTCCAGACGGCCACAGAAGTGCATCTGAAAGAGTACAATAAAAAAAACTCGTCCATGAATAACACCAGAAACCACCGCTCCCCCTTCTGCGAGCAACACCCGAGTGGGCATCGAGTTGGCAATCCAAACACAAGTGATCAAGGATAGGCATACAGCCAACGGTGGGGGGACATCGTCAGAGTATGCTGGTGCCAACTGACAGATTAACGAGATAGTGAGGCGTGGATGACAAACGGCATGCACCATCATCATGTTAATGTCAACGTTGACTCGAGCCAAAACTACAGCCACAAAACTGACGGTAGTAATGGTATGTTTTGCTATGTTAAATTGCGCTATGCGATGCCCATCGGCCCACAGTGCTAGATTTGTGTTGCATTAACCTCGCATCAGCAGCACTGTTCTATACGCCCTCTTACTGTACACCATTACCGTGAATTCAAATAGGGTGCATTAGCAAAGTAGATGAAACTTCGCTCAGAGCCACAGAGCAGCAGAGGTTAATGTGATGCATGCTATTCCATGTCAAGCACGCCGCGTTTCATGTACTTTGCTCGGCTCTCAAAAGCGCAGTGTTCTGACAAGTCAATGCACATGCTATTTATTGGCGTAACATCGCTTAATGGCTGAACTTTTTACATTAGCCAACAGTTTGACTCCATCACCATAATGATGGTGCGATCGTGCACATGTTGTCGTCAACGTCGATCTACCCCACAACAACAACAGCAACAACAACAACAACACACTTCTTTGGAAATCACGAAAGTTGTCGCACCGGAGGCTCTCGCACCGGCACGCGTTGTGTGCGCTCTGGACCCACACATTTTGTGCCGCTGCTGCTGTTGTTGTTGTTCAGATTTCTCTAACTCCGTTAATCACGCGAACGCCCTTTGCACGATTCTTTTTTATTCTTTCGAAAAGTTGCACAGCGCCATGAGATACGTGGGCATTTACCAACAGTTCCGCAGACATCGAAATCGCAAATCAATCTGAAAACGGGCCTTGAAATGCGGTAAATACACTCACAAGTGAACAAAGCATGTACAGTACCATTTGCCTTGACTGATACATCTCACTTGGCTCAATCTATAGCCGCATGTCACCTCCCCCCCCCCACTTAAGCTCCGCAAATGCGAATTTTGAACGCCCATCTGCACGGCTATCTGAAATGCGGTGGGTTCGTTGGGTCAGATTGGAAATTGAGCTCCACGCATAACTGTCCCCCGACTCCCCTCGACGGGAGATGTCCGCTTAAACCAAATGTGACGGTGGAGATGGCTCAGACTGATAATGACGTGATCTCGCTGTGGTTTAAATGACATGTTAAGATGCTGGTGTGCTCCGGCTTGACTTTCCTGAACACTGTGATTGTTCATAGCAGTCTGCAGCTATGCAATACACCACCATAAGCTGCTTGAGTGTTGTCCCTGTTCTGATTAGACCCGGGACAATTTTTGCAAAAATTTGCATTAAATTCCTATGATCCTGTCCTGGACGATTCTTGCGTAAATTACGATTATTTCCATGGTGATTTCCACGTTAAAATCTCAATCCATTTTGCATTGAATTTTAATGGAGTATCTGCCATAGACAACGTCTTTAACAGAAGAGGCGGTACGGACGAAACCAACATTGCAGACAATGCAAATGCGATGATAAAAAGGAGACAAAAAAGAAAGAACAGATTCTTCAATAATTGAGAATCAAGAATGGATTTCAGGATATGTGTGAGTGCATTCACCACCTTTGTATGAATGCATTAATATATATCGAGAGCATCCTTTCATTTTATAATTCAAAAAGCATATTTTTCCCAAAACATCACGCGGTATTTAAACCGCGATAAGATGATTTTTTACGAGAAACTGACGAATGCTAGAAATAAATAATGATGCTCCTGACCATTGGAAAACTGAATAAGTTTGATGGAGGCAACCTTTAAAGTAGCCACTCATGATTCAGCATGCACATTACTCTCAGAAAATTACTTCTTGAATCCCATCGCCTGCGCGCAACCATTTGTAAACTTACGCGTGTACCATATAGCGGCACAGACGCTGATTGATGGAAACTATTCAGACAGCAAAGTTTGGTTTGCTGACATTTAGTGCGAAATGGAACAATTTCATGAACTACATAACAAAGTATGGCCCCAAGCCACGGCTTTTCCAAACGTGGCATGATCTCACTCAATTATTGAACGCGCAATGCAGTCGCATGCAGAGCACACTCGCTCGCCTACAATAATACCACACTCGAAACGCGCACGACTGTGGGCGATGCGGTGGCACAACGGCTAAGCAGCTGAGTTCGAGTCCAGGCCGTGGTTTACATTAGTGGTGAGTCGTGACGGAATCAGTTCTGCGATATCCCGTGCACCAACCCGCACTGACCAGCATGGCCACAAACAATGGGCAGACAACCCCGTGGCACCAAACGGAAGCCAGAGGAGAGGATTTACGTTGAGGAGGGAGGCCGCCACAGAGATGGGACGATGGCAGCAGTTCCCGTGGCACGAGTGTGCGGTGAGTGGAAGCAACACTGAACCGTGAGGGAAAGCCTTCATCGAAGCCATTATTCACAATGCCTTGTATTATTTATTTTAAACATCTGTTATGTATTGCAAACGCGCTATATATTCAATTCAGTAGAATTTAAAGTGGTTTATAAATGTCCGTATGTGCATTATAAAGTATTAAATGCACTCAACTGGAAGCACTTATATGAAAAAAATGGGTGTAGCACTTTAAATTACGAGGCGAAAATATCTTCACGCGATGTAATTATTTATCACATTATAGATGACCTTCGCTGAAGACAGATATCTCCGTACCAGAGGGTGTTTATTGAAATTAGGTAAGTTGTGAAACTAATTATTTATGAGAGATGTATGCTTATTCGTGATGGCGATTATTATACATGTTATGTTTGTACGGTAATGATGATAAAAAAAAATCCAAAGTAAAATCATAAATTAGCACAGGTATAATTATGCACAAAGCCACACATTGAAATGCTGCGATTTGAAGGTTGTTCATGCAGTTACAATGAATAGTCATGAGCAGCAATGTTAACTCTCGTCACGCTGCTTTTATCACGAGCTGGTTTCCAAGAGGTGAGAGTGGGGTAAAAAATAAAATCACTATTTGAATAATAAATATCTCCATGTGTAATAGAATTAGCATAATGGTTGCAATGCTATTAGCACATAAATAATTAAAAATGTAAAGAACAAATAGATCATTTATAATTGTCGTAATTACGTGAGCACTTTCTAAATGTTTAATATTAACGTGCACCATGAATAAATAAATGCTGTGTGGAATTGCTTCGACATCCCGTGCACATTGTTGATGCGTAGATTTTAATTACCTGGGAAAGTTTCAGAAGTAACGTCAAACGTTAACTAAATTCAGGAAAGCACAACACGAGAAAAGATGCTCATATTAAAGTTCACATGAGCATTGACGCTGCAGTGGCTGTAATTGTTTGCACGCTGGATTGACAATGCAGCGATGGCTGCTTCGATTTGATCTCTGGGCAAGGCAGTTTATAACCCACGCACACATTTATTAAAACCGCCGCCTCTGTGCTCCCAGCAGTACAGCAAAAACCTCCCCGCGGTGTCGAGGCATATCTGGAGTTTGCGTGTCTCTCTCACCGTAGTCGCGTGGATATTCATATAAACACGCGTTTAGAGTATTTGGCTGCTATACGTTTCCACGTGATAAGCCACTTCGTTGAGCAATCATTTGTGGCCGGGTCGCCTCTGGATTTACATCCAAGTGTGCATTCGGCGATGGGTACAGGGGCAGCCCCACAATTGCTTACTCACACCACTGCTGGGAGAAGGGCACCCATTAAAGGGAGTTCTAGAAAGCTTCTCTATAGGTGGTTGGCCTCCTCTTCGACGCATTCTGGCCAGACGTCTGGGAAGAGGAGTGAGTACCCACCACACTTGTTGCCACTTGCGTGCGATCTGCCGATCGACTCTCGTGTGCCTCGAACGAAACGGTTTCTATTCCACCGGGTAAGGGGCCACCGGAGCAGCTGGGTGGGCAGGTGAAAGCGACAGCAACGCAAGGAGGGTGATGACACGCAATTAGTTCAGAATTGCAGGATTCTACTGCAGGGACATTTATTTAGACAGACAATTCACAAAATGCCCCCCCCCCCCCCCCCGTGACATCCAGTCGAGTGAATAGTTCCTCTCTGTGACGTCACAGGCTACCAATCACACGTGGCGGGGGGGGGTGTGGAGCCCCATGGCCCCGCGCTCACTGATGCGATGACATGGGGGGGTGGGTGGGAGGGTGGATGGGTGGGGGGGTGGCAGGTTGGGGGGTGGATGGCAGGTTGGGGGGTGGATGGCTGGGTGGATGGGGGGTGGGGGGGGGGTGGATGGCTGGGTG